GGAGGAGGAGGGCGCGACCCCCGCGCCCACGCGCGCACGCCCCCGCCCCCGCCCGGCCGCGTGCAGCCTCCGGGGGAATCTGAAGCCCCGCGCGGTGCGGCCAGCCTGCTCTGACATACTTTTAGGGAATCCGAGCTGGTGCCAGCCGCAGACGCCGCGCGGCGGGGACGGGGACACGAGAGGGGCGAGCTCTTCCGGCTGCGGCCTCTCCCGCGGGACGCCCTGCAAACTCGACCGGTCCCTGACCCCCCCTCCCTCTCCAGACCTGGGTGTGACGTCCGGCCCTGGTCCGGGAGTAGTAATTCTGTCGCCACTGCATTCCCATCCCAAGTTCCCTCTTTACAACCTCCCCATCTGCTCGGGAAGCTGATGCGTGGCGCTCTGACACCAGCCCCAGCTTCCCCTGCCTCTGCCCTGTCCCCAGGTTGCTTCAGTGTCGGGGAACGCGCCGTGGCCTCCTTGATACCTTGAACCGCAGGTGCACACACCTGTGCCTTTTGAGAGGCATCGCCGCTGAAGGAATCCAGGTTTCTCTGGACTCAAGTAGCCTAGAACCCGCGTCCCTAGAAACACCCAATAAGGGGACACAGGTAAGTTGTAGGGTACGTGGGCGTTGCCTCGTTGAATGTGTAAAGGGTGTTTTTTAGGAAACCATAAACAGCACAAGGCTGGTGCAAAATAGTTTCCTGTTGCGTTTGCTCTGGACCGCGAGGGGAGGCTAGAGTGGGAGGACGCTGCGAAGGGATTCACAGCACTCTGGGATCCTGCGTGCAGGAAACAGGAGCTGGCCCTGCGCGGGCTGCCCCGTGTTCCCCTGGCGCTGGCTCCACGGTGTCCCCGGGTACGCAGCTATCCACAGCTGGGCGCCTAGAAGCGCTGCTTTTCTGGCTTGCTGATGTGCAGACTTCCGGGGTTTTATTTGATCATGTAATGGGCACACGAGTTGAAAGAAAATGTATATAATGTCTAAATATTAACAAAATTCCTAGTGCCAAAGAGGGGGAAGAATGTTAATCAAATAAGATGAAGAACACGGACTTTTGCCTGAGTGAACAAAAGCTCGCTGCTGCTCTCAGCTGGACATGAGTTTTAGTTCAGATAAAGATTATTCCTTTATAATATATTTTTTATGGTACACAGGAGACCTCTGAAATGCAGAGTCTGGTGTCCTGTAAATCATTCCATGTAACTAGGGAAGCTTTTTCAAACACCACACAACCGCATTTCTGTAATGTTCATGGGAATCAGCCAGCTGAAGCTCTGAGAAGCGCAAGGGTTGTGCAGCCCTCCGCTTCGCTTCGCTCTTGCCCACGTCCTGGTGGATGCCCTGGAAGCCCGCGCTGCAGCTGATGAACGCCAAGGCCCTCGCCCCTCTTTGGTTCAGGACCAGACTCCCTGCACATGGCCCAGGAACTCCCTACAGCTTTTGCCAGAACTCAAGCTTCTCTCTGAAGCACCCTCTGGGCAATCCAAATCAGCCTGCCCAGTGTCCAGTTCCACGGAAGAACGTGCTCTGAGATTTAGAAAGATTTTGCTAAAGTGGCGTTAAAACCTAGCCCAGGGATGGCAAGCTGAGGGCTGAAGGTGGCCGGCAGAAGAGACACAATCAGTATGATCCACAAACATGCGCTGTTCCGAATTCAAGAATCAATTTAAACTTTTTTAAAATTGGGGGGAGCATAATTGCAGCTAATGAAACTTTTTAAATTACAGGCTTTCCCTACATTAGGTTCAAAATGTGTGTAAGCACTGGATACAAAGTGTCTGCTAAAGCCCTGCAGATCTAGAAGCTAGGTTCTCTCAGCCAGAGCTAAGGAGTTGGTTAGAGGCTTCCTTTGCAGGCTGTCCCTGCAGACGGCCACTAGCACTTGCTACTTGCTGCACTCTGCTAGTTAGGAATCTGCTCCTTAGGAATCTTCAGTCTCCCATCTCCTGCTGAATTTAGCCACGTTCCTGACAGAATGGGCTGCCCCCATGAAATGTCAAGCCCACGGGGGAGAGGGATGATGTGGGTTGTTTTCATTATTTAGAGAGGAGCTTGGTTCATTTTTTTTTTTTTTACACTTAGGCGGTTGTTTTTTGCTTTCTGTTTTGTATGGAGTCATTTTTTTTTTCCTAGAAGGAAGTCCTCAAGGTGCCTACAACAAAGAGCAACGTCGGTGTAGCAGGAGAACTGCAAGTTCACTCTGTGCTTCCCAGTGGGTCCGGAGATGGGCTCACACGTTGTTGTTGTCTCCCCTGAGAACATGGGCCACTCCTGCAGGCCTCTGTGAATTTCCAGTGTCCTTCCAGCTCATCTCCAGGCTTCTAGGCATTCACAGGGTCAGTGTTTCCCAGGAATGTTTCTTAGTCCTGCCCTAATGCCCTCGCTAGCATTTCGCTGCCTACTAACTCCAAGTTCTTTCTACCTCTGCACTCAAATTTCCCTTTCCACCTTTCATGCCGCTCCCAGCATTGCCAAGCCAAACTGCATGTTTTATCTAAATACTCATGCTTTATGCTACCCTTTTTAAGTATTATAAGATGAAAGAGTTACAACAAAGCTGTCATTTGCTCCCTGAGGGATAGTGAAGAGGTTCTCTTTCCTTCCTTGAGCCTTGGAGTCCGTATGTATAAATAATGAATAAAAAGACTCACCTGGAATTGTTTTTATAAAGAATTATATTGAGGGCCGGAGAGATAGCTCCGTGAAATAAGCGCTTCCCTGGCAAGGGCAAGGGCCTGAGTTCAATCCCCGGTTCTGCAAAAAAAAAAAAAAAAAAAAAAAAAAAAAGAATTAAATAGAGTTATGTAGCATGTATAAAATACCTGGCTCTCCGCCTAACATGTAGCCACCAATAATTATTTGGATCTGAATTAAGGCTCATACCATCTCCTCCTTTTCTTATTAAAATGTTGTTCCTGAACTAGACAGATCACTCAGCAGCATAGTGCCTGCATGGCAAGCGCAAGGTCCTAAGTTGAATTCCCAGTACCAAATGCTGTGCCACCCTGGAACCAGGAGTAGTGGCTCACACCTGCAGTCCCTGCACTAGAGAGCCTGAGACAGGAGGATCACTACAAGCCCAAACTGCATAGCGAGACCCTGTACCAAAAATTAAAACAATAAAATAAAAACCTTTTTACAAGAAATGTTGCCAGCTGCACCTATTTTATTTTCAGATTATTTTTTTCCACAATTTTATTGAGAAACAAATAGCAATGAGACACTTTCAAATCAAATTGATAGGACAGTTCCAATAATTAACACATTGCATGCTCTCTTCCTAGTGGTTATTTGCTGTACAAGATGCGGACATGATATCCTATTTACAAACACTATTACAACAAATCCCTCTATTCATTAGAATGAATGAAACTATATATTCTATTCATAGAATGTAACTATATCTATCCTAACCATTTTGAATACACAAATACAAAATGGACATTCATCTGTATCCCCTTTTTGGTTAGTTCCATCATTTGAATATTATAGATGTGTTAACTCAGCAAAATGTTCTAAAACAGTCCAGTAGTTCATAATAGTATTGGGTCTTCCACTTGACTGGCAGTGTCAGAAATTGTTGACAAGAGTCCCCTACAGCTCAACATAACATCATGGCTTTACTTCTTCTACTTCATTTTTATACTTTTCTGCTGGATGGTTAAGATCAAGATAAAGCAAGACCTAGGCAACAAGAGTTGTAGCTTTTGGATCTGATAAGGTCAGTCAAAGTCCCTCAGGATTTATCCTGAGATCCTGTACCTCAGACTGTAGATCCTTTGTCAGTGTCAGCCATGTAGATGAGTCACGGCCATTGCTTGGCCAATGTGCTCTCTGTGAAAGCCTGAGAGAATGTTTTCTCTCCATGTGACTCTCCTTAGGCACACTCCACATCATC